TTTTTCCAATTTTTTGAATTTGCTGTTCACGATGGTGTAGGGGCACTCGGAAGCTACCGCACCTTTCTCTACAGTGTATACATCTTTTATTTTGCTCATTAGCTGATTGCTCATGCATGTTAGCTTGTCACTGGCTCAGTGCGGGGAGCGCCTGATCCTTTTAGTGAGAAGAAAAGCATATGACTTACATCTGATTTTACCGAATTTTCTAGAAGGTCATGCTATTACCTTGAGCTGGAACTAGCATTTAGTATTTGCAGCACTAGATGCATGTGCATATACAACAGATCTATTATTCTCAAGGAACGTCACATTACTCTCCTGGCCTCTACATGAGCTCCTCAGACCCATGCTCGCCCGCCAACATATGTAGTGTGTCTATAAATAATACAACCGTGTACATTTTTGTGGAACCGAACTCAATCAGCAATGGTAGAAGCTAGATATCGTGTGTGCATCGTGCATGTGAAGGCATCGAGTGGCATAGACTATTACACAGTGAGAACTCATGAGGCGATGAGAGTGAGAGGCATTGGGAACTTTGGTTGTAGCCCATGAGAGGTGTGTTGGCCGCAGGCCGACTTGGAAATTTTGACATGAATAAAAAAGGAACAGTTCTAGTAGTATCTACAAGTATTACCGAAAACATTGTTAAAATACTTCTACGAGAGGGTTTTATTGAAAGTGTTCGGAAACATCAGAAACATAACTGATATTTCTTGGTTTCAACTTTGCGACATCAAAAGAGAAAGACTAGAAAAGGAATATATAGAACAAGAACCTTTTTTAAGCGTATCAGCCGACCCGTCTTACGAATTTATACCAGCTATCAAGGAATTCCTAAAGTTTTGGGTGGACTGGGAATTTCTACGTCGCTCGCAATGAGTGCTTTCCGCTGGAACACATACATGTTAGACAATCAGCTGCACTAGTTCTACAACTTATTCATTCAGTTAGTTTAGTGTCACTGAATAAAATTCAATATGTCAGCGTGTGCTTGTGCACGTACAGGTGCAGTAGTTTTTAGTTAGGAAGTTAGCGGCATTTTTCGCCCGTCTGAGGAAGCGCCATGGGATGGCATCACGCATCTCGTGGCGGACTTGTAGGGTTCAATCATGGCAAGCATGGTGGGATGGCACGATTAGTAAGCTCGTCGTGGGCAACCATTTCCCTTGTTTTCCGCAGCTCGTTTTGGGGCTAGCTTAATAACAAAAAAGCTGCAGATCAAGTGGTTGCTAGCTTCATCGTGGGCGACCATTTCCTCCTTTGTCTCACACAATCTCTGTCACCGAGGTTGCTAGCTTCGGCAAGAACAAGTGGCATCAGAGCCTTGGTGGTGTTCGATCCATCATGGGCGTTGGCGGAGTCTGATCTGTCGGAGAGATGACTGGTAGCGATGACGAGAAAACGAAGGAGTTGGAGAAGAAGGCGGCAATGGAAATGGTAGTGCTTCAGAAAACCGTGGCGCGGCTCTCCACATAAGGAGGGTTAGGGGTGCGCGTCATGGACAGCCATAGCGGCGGCATTGCCCCCGATGATGCTAACGCGAACAAACTACACGTACTGAGCCCTCATGACTAAATTGCAGTTGCAGGCCAATCATGTCACTTGCAACCGAGGTACCGATGAATCTGGGGCAAGGCCATACCCAATGTTGGCGCAGGGCAGCAGGCCAGGCATATGCTTTGCTTCTTCAGCACTCACGTGCAGATGCTTTACTACGAGATTTTTCAACAAGCGGAGCATTACTTGTCGATGGCCGAAGCTGCTAATTAACTAACCGACTAGCTTGAACGAATCTATCTTGAAGCCCAGAAGGAACACACACGAAATCGATTGGGATGCCGGTTTGTCTTATCACTTTGTCACGACCTGGTGATTCCACACGAACAGATACCGGAAGACTTGGTTGCTCGCTGCCGGCTGTGCAGATGTTTCTTACTCACGCTAGAAGTGATCAACTACTCCGGTGAGTTATGAGCCCAATAAGCGTCTATCTTAGACTGCGGTGGAAGTAGGTTAAGTCATCGTTGCTTCTGCGCGTGCTAAGTTGAGAGGCGCTTAAATTCTCGGTGCTTCTCATTCCCAAAGGCAAAATCACTCTGACATTAGGAGTCTCTCAACTTCTTCGTCGCACTACTCCCTCTTTGTGACTAAAAACTATCTCATACTCCACCAACCATATAACTAGGCTAAGGTCAAGTTCGCACATTGGAGAAAGTTCGTACGGCATCTCTGTCGTGCTATGAAATACAGTAGAAGCCAAGGCCAAGGCCAATATATATGGGTGCCAAAAGTACGTGTAAACCATAACTAGGACTCCTATGACTCACCAACCATAGCGTCAGTTATTTATACAGTTCCAGCTGTCACCTCATTGTTCCCTTCATCAAATGAGATGTATTCATTTTAGGAGCTTTGGTCACTCTGGCCGCTGCCTATAAAAGTTATAGACTACATTCACAGAGAGCATCAAGATTTCATCGGTCTTCAGGAGACCATTCACTTAGACTTAAGATTGATCCCATGGAGAAAAAATTTCCGTGGCAATAGTTGCAAGGGCATTCGGTAGGAATGCTCCTCGGAATTAGCAAGGAGCCAAGGATTGCTATGACATTGTGGCATGGGAGCCGGGACGTTTTTCCTTAGCGCTCAGGTCATACACCATGCATCGAATCGATCTTGAGGATCATTCTGATCGTAGCGGTTCTGCCGTTCCTTGCGGAATTGCAACACAAAGTTGTGTCCTCGTCCGAGCTGCCTATCTTCATGGTGGCGATTGAATTTGGTAAGTAACCCCATGTTGCATTGTTTTACCTCCTTTTGAAGGTGAGGCAACCATCTGTGATAGAATATCTCATCACATGCAGGTACCCTGAAGGTACTCGTCCATGATGAGTCCGTACTTACCACTTGCAAAATTAGATGGCTTTAAAGGCTTTGTCAGAGTGACAAATATGGTATATGGGCCGGGGGAGAAAGGAAGATCATGCAACGAATGCACAAACAAAAGTCCAACTTATTCTAGATTAGATTACAAGGGAAATGCGCCGTAGATAAGACTTTCGTGATAGAGAAAAGAGATGCTATGGAGTATGGACATGACATATTTTGTCCAACTCGGTACACAGATGTTCCATAACGACAGTGGCGGACCCAGGAATTATTGACGCCCCAGGCGAACAACTAATGGCTAAAACTACCCAAGAAGAACTTCAGTTTCAAGGCATACAAGAATCAATCTATGTTTTGCATAACTAATAAGAAACCAAACATGATATTCAATGACAACATTTGTTCCATGATTGGTCAACTAATAAAGCAAGACAAATCAAAAGACAATATGTGGCATAGATAAATGATACAGACGATGATACCAAATCAAATGATTGGTTGATCTGAGCCTCCCATGACTACATCTTTAATAGCAGACATCACTAAACCTTCAACCATCAATTTTGAAATGCGAATCAGTGCATAATATAGCAGGCAGAACTAATTAACAATAGATGCAAAATGTGAAAACTTACGTGTAGGACGAGGCAAAACACCTTTACATGTGCGATAACCTTGAAATCGCTCAATGATCTTGGATTCTTCGATACTAACAAATACATCACTCTCAATGTAACATACCATTCTATGGTTCATCCAATCATCACCCATTTTGTTCCTCAATCCGGTCTTGATAATGCTCATTGCTAAGAATGCGCTTTCCACAGTTGCGGTTGCAATAGGTAAAATCAATGCTAACTCAACCAGACGGTAAACTAAGGGAAAAGTTGTGTGCATATCACTTTTAACCATATTCATGGCAAGATGACCAAGATCATTGCAATTCATCAAATGTGGATCACCTCTTGCTTCCCGAATGAATGAGTCTAGTTGGTTTCTAAGGACAAAAGTAACTTCATATGTAGAGAAGTCAGCAGCATACACATTAGCAAGATCTACTAGCTTGTCTTCATTATAATTGGCAAATGAATTCTTGGGATCAAGACAAGCAATGCATCTTAACAATTGAGTAGACCTTTCCGCAAAGCGGTTGTTCAACTCCACAATAAGTTGATCATGCAACACATTGAATATTTCATTTTTGAAATGATGGTTGTAAGTTACCAATTGCCCACCCCAAGACCTTGAACGGCCATTAGCAGTTCTTGTATCTTCCATATTTGGCACTACAATGTTGTATTTGACACAAAAGTCTGTTACCTCTTTGAAGAGCTCATCCCAACCATTCTGCCTTATCTCGCTGGACGCCGGGCTGGGCAGCCTGCAGGCTGCAGCCTCGTGCGGTCGCGGCCTAGCCGGGTTTGCTGCCTCGCGCCCTCGCCGCCTCGCCGGACGCCGGACACGGCGAACAGGACAGCAGCCGAAGCTTGCAGGCCCGCAGCGGCAGCGGCACAACCGGAGGGGGGAGGGGGGCGAGCGCTGAAACGGGGGGCGCTAGAAGGGGGGATCCGGGGGGTACTGCCGGATGGAGGCAAGAAGCTGACCGGCGACGGCGGGCGGCGACCGGCGACGGCTTAGGGTTCGTCAGGTCCAGACTGAGTCGGGGGCAGAGCGTCTGGCTGTTGCGAGTTCGTGCGGCCGTGCGGGTGAGTTGGCCTGGGCGGCCTACCGCCTGGGCCTGTTCGCCTGGACTGCCTGGGCTTGGACCTGGGTTGCGCCCCAGGCCAAAGTTTTTTTTTAATATAGGCCTACGATTTTTTCCACGCCCCGGCCCCGGGCAATGGCCTGGGCTGCCAAGGGCCCAAATCCGCCCATATTAACGACCATTGATTGCTTCACAGATGTGGACCCAAAGCACATTTCGCAGATTGTAGCATCAAACCATTGTGCCAAGATTGCGCCCAACGACAGCTTCCATATTATTGGCTTATGCTCATAGCTTCTCATACACATGACTCATGAGTCATGACACTCATGAATGCATGAACTGGCAGACACGTTTGACCATATAATGCAACACATGCTAGCTAGAGCAGCTATCTAAGCTAGTTCTGAGGACTCCAGGGTATGCAGTTAGGCGGGGAGCACTGCTCGCTGCAGTTATCTCGGCACTCCCCGCTCCGCCCCCTCGTGCAGGCGTCACAGTATCGGGTAGTGCAGGCGCTGATGCATGAATTGTTGATGGTGTCGTTGCACTCATCGCAGCTGCCGGTGCAGTTTTTGTCGGCCCTGCAGAGCGCGGACACCTGGGTCCTACAGGAGTTGCAGGAAGGTTCAACTGCGTCGCAAGCACTGCTGCATTTCGCGGTAACGAAGGCGTAGCAGCACTGATAAGAACACTCGGGGCAGGATATCACCGGCCCTGGCCCCGGTGCTGGCGCGGGTGCAGGGTTTGGTGGCAGCAGCACTGCCGGAGGTGGTGGTATGAGAGCTGGCGGCGGTGGTGGTGGTGTGGGAGTTGGAGTTGGTGGTGGCGGTGACGGTGGCGGCGGTGCGGGTGAACGACAGCGCCCCAAGGAAGGCACGACTAGCATGGCGAGAACAGCAACGACGGCGGCCACCTTGAGAGCGAGAGCAGCTGATCCTGGAGCCATTGTATTACGGAGACAGCAAGCAATGCAAGGCTAAGAGAGAAGGAGAAGGGAGACGCAGGATGAGATTTGAGATGTGAAGACTTGCTGGTGCACATACGACATTATTTATGTACAGGCACCAAAGATTGGAATCTTAGGTATAGCTAATTAGTATTGTCATGTACTACTCCATGACTGTATAGATGAATTGTATTCGTAGCTTGGTAAACTCTACCAAGTTGCATGTTGAGATCTGCGCCATGCATGTTACAAGTTTGACTTTTCACATGTTACTCATCTTGACCAGGCAATTTGGGTTGGATAATCTCAGTCGAGAACTAAACTAGTACGTACGTACTATCTAGGTATACATTGGACCAAATTCCAAGTTTGGATCTGCACCGACATCCGGCCTTATAAAAAAAGATTGACTTCATATATATAACTCATCTTGACCCGGCACTTTGGGTTGGATCTGAGTGGAGAGACAAAACTGAATTGCTCGAGATTGTCTTTGAATCTTGGCGGCTGCCTTGTTTTGGAAGATACTGAAATGTAGATTTAAGTTTGAAACTTTCGATTAATCTGTAACAAGAGCTGATTTTTATGTACTGGCCCTGCAGACATCATGTGAGACATTCAAAACAAAAGGAAGCTAAGTCTTTCCGGAGCACTTCGGTCTTGGCCGACAAGGGGGCTACTAGGGGACAAACATCTTCAGGTCATGGCGATTGGTTCCTCCTTATTTGCACCTGCTAGCAATTTTGACAGAAAAACTGGCATATAAAATATAGTATAATTTTCATTTCATTTGTTCTTGGATATATAACCACTTATGTGTGCTTGTTTATGCTTTTGGTTGTGTCCAAATTACATGTGTTATTCCAAAATTAGGACGAGTGCGCTTAATAAAGATGATTTTTTTTGCTTTGACATACATGGCATCTCAAGCGTGTTCTCTTCTATTCTTCTATTGACCAAGTCCATGAACTTCCACTAGTAGAAAAAGGATCAAACGTGAAGCACATTAGTGTCGGTTTGTATTTGAGCCGGCACAAATGTATACATTAGTGCTGGTTCCAACGGCTAGCCGGGCCGCTCTCATTAGTACCGGTTCGTGGCTAACCTTTAGCACCGGTTCGTGCCACGAACCGGTACTAATGAGAGTGGTGGCAGGATGTTGTCAGTCTGGGCCCCCTCCAGCACCTTTAGTACCGGTTCTTGGCACGAACCGGTACTAAAGGTCGTCCTACATAAACCCTTCGTCCACCCGAGCTCGCTCTGTTCTTCCCCTTTCCCCTCTCCTCTCTGATCTTCCCCTCTTCCTCTCGAGCTCATCACACATTTTGCCCAAAATTTGTCAAGATTTGAAGGCCCCCATCCATTCAAATGATCACAAAGGTTAGCAACTTTGTCCTTTCATCTCTCATTGCTAGATTAGCTCTTGCAATGCTTTATATAGTTATTAATTTGTGAGTTTAGTAATTTAGGAGGAAATATATATATCTGCTAGTATTTGATTTATATGCAATTTGAAGTTAAAATAACACTTAGTTTGCATATGTAGGTGTGGTTTACTTAGTGCCTTCTAAATCTCCGTCGTAACCACCGTCGATCGCCCGCACCGTCCCGTCGCCGGCACCACCTTGTGGTGAGCCTCTTGTTCATGAAATTTTATATAAAAAATTGATGTTTGTGTGATTTGGATATATTGTTACTCGTATAATAATTATCTTACCCGTACGTTATTTGTTATACATAGTGCCATGGTTTTGATATCCGTCCCCGTCGGCCCTCGTCCTTGTTATGATTCGGATGTGGTATATTCTCTTTTAAAACTATTTGTTGCATTTCGTGTTTATGACAAATTATGCCCATCAAGTTGACATAGATATTTTTATCTAGGAGGTATGTGAACCGGAAATTCCAACCGACCCTATTGTCAAGAGGTTAAATTTAGTTGAAAGAGAAAACGAGTACTTGAAAGAAAAATTGAAAAGAATTGAGGGGGAGAAGATGGAATTGGAGTTGCATGTTGCCGATGTCGTCGATGATCACAAGATCAAGATGGAGAAAATGCGCTTGAAGATTAGAAAGATTAGAAAATATGCCATCGATAGTGAGGCTTGGTATCATTATGCTGTTGGATTAATTGTTACCTTAGTTGTGATCTTGATCGCATTTGTTGTTGCATTTAAATGCTTTAGCTAGAGAGTTATTTGTTTGTTGCATTTAAGTGTTGTATGAACTTTATGTATGAACTTGTATTAATTTGGTCTATTCGGTGTTGTGTAATGAAGATGAGCTGGCAATGGATGTACGATGACCGATGCTCTCCCCAGTTCGTTGAGGGCGTGCATACTTTTCTGCTTGCGGCTGAGGCAAACAAGTGGGCGGATGGTTTTATACCTTGTCCATGTGCTGGCTGTAAGAATGGTCGCAATTACTCTACGTCAAGAACCATTCACGTCCACCTGTTTGAGTCCGGTTTCATGCCCCACTATAATGTTTGGACCAAGCACGGAGAAAGAGGGGTTATGATGGAAGACAATGAAGAAGAAGAGGACGACGACAGCTATCCTGGCCATGGGTTCCCTGAATACGATGATACAACAATGGGGGAAGAAGCTGAGCCGATAATGCGGGAAGAAGCTGAGCCGGCAATGCGGGAAGAAGCTGAAGAAGAGGCATTAGATGAGCCCGTTGATGAACTAGGTCGGGCCATTGCCGATGCAAAGAGAAACTGCGCAAGTGATTTGGAGAAGAAGAAGTTGCAGCGCATGTTAGAGGATCACAAAAAATTGTTGTACCCGAATTGCGTAGGTGACAAGAAAAAGCTGGGCACCACACTGGAATTGCTGCAATGGAAGGCAGAGAATGGTGTATCTGACAAGGGATTTGGAAAGTTGCTGGTAATGATAAAGGATATGCTTTCAAAGGACAACGAATTGCCCGAGAGTACGTACGAAGCAAAGAAGGCTGTTTGCCCTCTAGGGTTAGAGGTGCAGAAGATACATGCATGCCCTAATGATTGCATCCTCTACCACGGTGAGTACGAGGATTTGAACGCTTGCCCGGTATGTGGTGCATTGCGCTATAAGATCAGCCGCGATGAGCATGGTGATGTCGAGGGAGAGCGCCCCAGGAAGAAGATTCCTGCCAAGGTGATGTGGTATTCTCCTATAATACCACGGTTGAAACGTTTGTTCGAAAACAAAGAGCATGCCAAGGCGATGCGATGGCACAGAGAAGACCGTAAGAAAGACGGAAAGTTGAGAGTACCTGCTGACGGGTCGCAGTGGAGAAAAATCGAAAGAAAGTATGGGAAGGAGTTTGCAGATGACGCAAGGAGCATATGGTTTGGTCTAAGCGCAGATGGCATTAATCCTTTTGGGGAGCAGAGCAGCAACCATAGCACCTAGCCTGTGACTCTATGTTTGTATAACCTTCCTCCTTGGTTGTGCATGAAGCGGAAGTTCATTATGATGCCAGTGCTCATCCAAGGCCCTAAACAACCCGGCAACGACATTGATGTGTACCTAAGGCCATTAGTTAAAGAACTCTTACAACTGTGGAATGGAACAGGTGTACGTGTATGGGATGAGCACAAACAGGAAGAATTTGACCTAAAGGCATTGCTGTTCGTGACCATCAATGATTGGCCTGCTCTCAGTAACCTTTCAGGACAAACAAACAAAGGATACCACGGATGCACGCACTGTTTGGATGATACCGACAGTATATATTTGAATAGTTGTAAGAAGAATATGTACCTGGGACATCGTCGATTTCTTCCGAGCAGGCATCCCATAAGAAAGAAAGGCAAGCATTTCAAAGGTGAGGCGGATCACCGGACGAAGCCTCGCCACCGTACTGGTGCTGATGTACATGATATGGTCAAGGATTTGAAGGTGATATTTGGAAAGGGTCCTGGCGGACAACCTGTTCCAAAGGACGCTGATAGACGCGCACCCATGTGGAAGAAGAAATCTATATTTTGGGACCTGCCATATTGGAAAGACCTAGAGGTCCGCTGCGCAATCGACGTGATGCACGTGACAAAGAATCTTTGCGTGACCCTACTTGGCTTCTTGGGCGTGTATGGGAAGACAAAAGATACACATGAGGCACGGGAGGACCAGCAACGTATGCACGGAGAAGACGGCATACATCAGGGTCATGCAAGCTACGCTCTTACCAAAGAAGAGAAGGAAATCTTCTTTGAATGCCTGCTCAGTATTAAGGTACCGTTTGGCTTCTTGTCGAATATAAAGGGAATAATAAACATGGCAGAGAAAAAGTTCCAGAACCTAAAGTCTCATGACTGCCACGTGATTATGACGCAACTGCTTCCGGTTGCATTGAGGGGGCTTCTACCGGAAAATGTTCGATTAGCCATTGTGAAGCTATGTGCATTTCTCAATGCAATCTCTCAGAAGGTAATTGATCCAGAAATCATACCAAGGTTACAGAATGATTTGGTGCAATGTCTTGTCAGTTTCGAGTTGGTGTTCCCACCATCCTTCTTCAACATCATGACACACGTCCTAGTTCACCTGTGCGAAGAGATTAACGTTTTGGGTCCTGTATTTCTACACAATATGTTCCCCTTTGAGAGGTTCATGGGAGTCTTAAAGAAATATGTTCATAACCGTGCTAGGCCAGAAGGAAGCATCTCCAAGGGCCATCAAAATGAGGATGTCATTGAGTTTTGTATTGACTTTATTCCTGACCTTAAGCCGATTGGTGTTCCTGAATCGCGGCATAAGGGCAGACTGGATGGAAAAGGCACGCTAGGAGGGGAACAAATAATATGTATGGACGGACATTCTCTCACTGAAGCACACTACACAGTTCTACAGAATTCCGCCTTGGTGGCTCCGTATATGGATGAACACAAGAATTTGCTACGCTCCAAACACCCGGAGCGGTCGGATGACTGGATTACACGTGAACAAACCAGGAGTTTCGCCAGCTGGTTGCAGACACGTACCATGCATGACACCTCTATTGAAGATGAC